GGGGGGGGGGGGAAATGGAAACGCAAAAGCACTTGGAGCTATGATTATGGCTTAATTAAATATTTCCACCCCCTTCCCCGTATAATGATTTATCAGAGTGCACGTGGTGAGTGTGTCTGGGCGATCGCTGCTGCGTGCTGTTGTTTCATGTCGGTCCCTCGTGCAAATCGAGCCCCTGATTGTCAGTACCGTTTGGTTCGGGTCGCGGTTTACAGTTGGGATTTGCCTTCAGTGGGATGGTGACTCTCCTCTGCGAGTGAGTTAAGCGCAGCAAACAAACGCGTGTGGAATTCCGGCAGCCGGCACACCGTAGGCAGGCCAGGAATGTCGCGGAACAGTCCCCGGAAGCGGCGGGAGTAACTGCGTCACTGGATCTGAAAGCCTGCCTGGCGGACGCCGGGTCTGGACGGTCTAGGGAAGTGGCTCTCAACTGGTTTAGCCTCAACACCCAGATTTTTGGGTTTTTATGTCAAGACCCACATATCTGGATATTAAGTAATGGCCTTGAAAATTTGTTGACTTGGTGGGGGGGGTTTATTTATTTATTTAAACCCCACACTCTGCAATCAACTGAAAATGCTCCCTGCAGTTGAGAGAAACTCCCCATCATCTTAGGCTGACTGTATCTGAGCAGCCAGCCAGCCGGCCTGGGTCATAAGCAGGCTCTGTGTGTATTGCTTGCTCTCCCCACCCTGAGACGGCCTGGGCTCTGCTTCAGCTTCTCTGAGGCTTCAAACCAAGAGATCTTCCAAGCCACCGAGGTCCTGAGAGCGCGAATTTGAAACGGCTGGGTTTGGCGTGAGCTCCGGCTCGCAGTGGCCATTACTGCGCCGGGGGTGATCTGGCTCGGCTCGCAGATGTGGCACAATTATGGTACAAATACAAAATAATTAAATCAGGGCTGTTTTAGAGCTCAGAACGGCGCTGTGCGGATGGAGAGTTATTTAGGAATCGGCTTTTAATGGCCCCCGCTTTGCCGGCCTGCAGCTGGAGATGGGAGTGAGTCCCATGTGACACTTTGGCAAATCTTTATATGATAACTTGAAAGCTTTTGCTTTGTCCTTTGATTGATTCTAATGTTCTAATCGTCTCCTTTTCCCTCGTTTGCCCGGATATAACGGTGCAGACTCGTGGGCTTAGCCGTGAGACTCTTTGGGGACTCCGACTCTGATCGTTGGTCTAGTGTGTCGGTGGAGGTCACAGCTGCCCAGATTTTTCGAGCCACCTCAGCCAGGTGAACGGAGACTGTCGCCTGACTGCGGATTCAGTGGAACTGGGAGCCGCGGGGTGGAGAAGGGGGCATCTCTGCTGCCCCGGCTGCTTTTGGATTAACGTCGACATGCAGCGGCGACTCCAAGGGCAGAGGGGTGACATCGTGTGACCCCTCTCTCTGTGGCAGACGGCAAATCCCGCCACAGCCTTGTCCCGGGTCTCACCCCGTGGCACCAGAGCACTGGTATAATTCTGGTGAAGATCCGCATGAAGCGTTTCGGAATAACTCTTCAGGAGCGGCCTGCCTTATTCCACTCCGCGGAGATGGATGGCCTCGTGCTCCCTGACGCTCCCGTGTCGGATGTTCACCACACGCCGCCCTCATCTTATCTCCTCCTCCCTTTCCCGGAACGCTGTCCTGCAGCTCGCCCCACATCCCGGTGCACGCTGAGATCCAATCCTTCATCGGGCTGCTCGCCAAAGACATTGGCATGGTCCCGGGCGGGCGGGGAGGGGGGGGCGTACCACTGAAATGAGTGATTTGCAGCATTTACACCCTTGAAAGATGGTGCTTTCGAAGGCTCCGAATGCATTAAACCTGGGATTGATACCGGTGCTTCGGAACTGGAATGCCGTGTGACACTGCTGGGATTCCATATGACACACGGCTTCCCCGACCTGCTGTTTCGACGCTTTAGTTTGCTTTATTCAATTCAATTATTCAGGTTATTTTGGCCAGAGACCAAGAGCAGAGGTTTTAATTCGAACCCTCTCAGTCCTGTTGAGCTTGTGTTGACGGTGTCTGTTTATTGGTAATAGGCGTAGGGTTAGGATCTGCACGCTCCGGAAGCTCATAGCCCGGAGGGCATTGTCCGAAACGCCAGCAGGGACTATGCCTATCACGCCCTTCAGCGAGGTACTTAACCCAGAATTATCAAGGAAAACATCCAGCTCTGTGAAAAATAAGCTCTCCCTAGCACAAAGTATTAAAACAACTGAAATGTAAATGAAATGTATGTTATTAGTTTAGGCTGTTAAGTCGGCTACCCTTTATATGAACTGCAAAATGGAACGTGTAGCGTTTTGAAGTCTGCGAGTGAAACAAGTGACTGTCATTAACCCTCGGTGGTGAACTTTGTCATTCGCATTAATTCATCTCGCTCCTGCTGCCGAGCTGCATTCATAAATCAGCGCTTTTTTTTTAAGCATTGTGTTTATTCCTTCAGGGCACAGATCCTGCCAGTTTAACGCGCATTCCTGAGCGCCTGGGCTCTCCTCACTTATAAAAATACCAACCGATTAAAAAGGGGCATATATGTAATTGGAGTGATGGCTCTGTGGAAAACACTGTGACTTCACGCCCCCAGGGTTATGGGTTCGATTGGTGCACTGACTGTCTGTCTCTCTGCATATGTGAGAGAGCCCTGTGATCGACTGACATACCAGCCAGGGTGCGTCCTGACCCTGTATTATTATGTGGCATTTGGGGGGAGGGGGGGTTAAGGATCTTGCTCATAGGCCCAATGACTATTCGTAACCCAGACTGGAACCGGTGACCTCCCAGGCACTGAGACCTGACCCGCTGCGCCACCCACCATTAAATGACTTGCAGTTTTAACTGACTTGTTTTTATTGATCGGTTTGCTGCCCGCTGGTCATCGACTACTGAAGCCCCATATACAGCCATATTTGTGACGCGCGTGGCTGCATGGGTAAATGCGTCGGCTTGACGGGGAGTCCGTGCAGGTCTGTGCGTCGATCTGGAGCCCGGAGGCTGGAGCCGCGGCTGCAGAGGCGGTTCTGTGCGCTCGCTGTGTTGCAGGATAAAGGGCTCTGCTTCATCCCGCCTGTCACGATAATCCCAGTAACACTACCCCTCAGCTGCTCCCCCCGCGGCGTGTTCATGTGGATGGGTGCGTGACCCCTTCCTGAGCGGGGGCACTCTCCACCCTCCTCCATCCTACCTGCTGTGCATCTCAGGAGAATGCCCCCCCTACACATTTGATCGCTGTCTGTCACTCGTCTTTTCCTTCCACCCTTTCCCACTCTCCTCCTCAACTGCGTCAGCTCCTAGTGAACACGTGGAAGGAAGAGGTGATGATGCAGAGCGATGCTGAGGAGGGGGAGGGGCTGATTATTAGGGGATGTCTTGCATTGCTGTGTGTGACTCCCTCTCCCTTTCTTACAGGTGTCTGTCATGTGTCAACGGTTCCTTTCCCTGCCACTGGTGCAAGTACCGGCATGTGTGCACCCAGAACGCCAACGACTGCTCCTTCCAGGAAGGCCGCGTCAACATCTCAGAGGTCAGTGCACCCAGAGAGACACAGCGCCCCCTGTCTGACGCTGTGTGGCTGTCGCCGCCCTCAGTACGGCCGCATGCAGACACACACAGACACGCAACGCGGCTCTAATCCGCTTCTTTTTTGTCATCAGGGCTGCTCTCGCCGTGTCCCGTTGGGTCAGGTCTGGCCCAGTTCGGCCCGGCTCTTTCAAAGCATCCGGCGATTTCCGCGTCTTTCGAATCGGTCCTGCCGAATGTCTATGCAAATGAGATCTTGTTCTACATACCCAAATGCTACATTAGCATAAAGACCATTAAAACGCACCCTGTGACTGGAGGGAAGCGTAGAGGAAGTTGGGGGTGTGTCACGTGTTCGTTCGCTGTCCTTTGTTGTTGTCGTCCCCCCCCACCACCACCACCACGCTGGGACCTTTTTTCTTGCTCTGAGTCAGAATCCATACAGTGTGACTGCTGGCTTCGCAGTGCTGAGCTGCTTGGATGATGTAAGCATTACAGCGATTACGTGCTGAAGCAAACCCCCCCACCCCCCAACCTTGTCTGCTGGGCTTCAAGCTGCTGACAGATTGTTTATCTCCCGTTCACCTTCCACAAGCAGGTCCCCCCCCCCCCCATTCCTGTTTATTTACACGAGGCCCTCACTGGTCACAGGGTGACGCGGCCCCATCCAATCAAGCGTGGCCTTTTGCATCTGCGTCTCGCCTCGGAGAGCAAATGACGCGGATTAGCACGTCCGTACCTGAGGGTGGCGGGGAAGCCTTGTGACTAGCGTCAGTATCGCGGGGCCGGCGGTTGGGGGCTCTGAGGGGGGCCACGAGGGTCCGTGCCGTCAGTCGTTCAGTCAGCCTGTGCCGCCTTTTTTTGGCCGGGCTAAAAATGGATCCCCTACATTCCTGTTTGATCCGCTTCCCCCTCCCATCTTCCCCATCCGCGGCTGTCAGTGTCGCTGCAGTTTGGCCCTGCCATGGCCATACTGCTGTTAGGGGGTGGGGGGGGGTGCTGTCTGTGGCCCGAGTTTCACTCGCCGCGGCCGGCCAACCCCATCACCGCCGCGGTCCCCCCGCCATGCCGTTGCCGCGGTAACAGACACTCTTCCCTTCCATCCCATCGTCCCGAGCACCTGGCCGCTCCTGTTTATTTCTGAACGTCTGCATCTGCGGCAAAACAAACCAGCAGGAAAAAAAAAACAACAGAAAGTCACAGAATGTAATGAGGAACATTTCACAAATCAAATATATATAAATCAACATCCCACTGTGACAGTCGGTATAAACAAAGAGGTGCATTAAATGCGACCAGGCAGAAAATTGCCTGAGTAATCCTCACTTCAGAAACCCATCGGGAGGAAAAAGTAAATCTTTTGTGCTCCGAAAGGGGCCCCCGCCGTCTGTCATGGGCTACCTGCCCCATCGGACCCCCGCAGGCTGGCTCCGCATTAGGGCAGTTCTGGGGTTGTCCGGCAGAAGGGGACTGGGGATCGGTGGCAGGCTGGCAGCTTCAGGGCTCTTCAATCGCCAATGCGTACAAAGAGCTGCGTTAAAACTTAGACTGAATTTTAATCGTTGGTTCCAAGAAAATTTCACAAAGGACTGGAAGGGACCCAAATAAATAGCAAAGCGCGGAAAGCAAAGCCTGAAGAGTCTTGGTTGCTGGAATTATGAGCTGTAGACGTCTGGTCAGTTTATCCTCTAACCACTGGTTATATTATCAGTGTCCAGTGGGATTTAACCAAGCGACGACTGACAGCGTATGGCAAACATTCACCTACGCGTCAGCTTCAGAGGTTCAAGATTAAGGTGCAACCTCCTCTGCATTAAAATGTGTTTCCTATCCTGCTTTGGGTCACAAGCCTACCCCCCCCCCCCTTCCTGGTGAAATGAGGAAACCTTGTCTCCAGGTTTGTGTGACCTGCTATAATGAGCGCTGAAGCAGACAGTGGGCGTTCACACCGGGGCTCAAACAACATCCCGGGGCAGGATAGATGTGGAGAGGCACCTGTCTCTGTCGGCATGGGGGCAGAAACGGTCCTACCATTCTGTCCGCCCCCTTCGCCTGGCTTGGTGGGGTCCGCCGTCACAGCAGACCACTGACAGATTGAAATTAATTGCCCCAAATGTCAGGCCTTATCAGATTAGCATACTGCTTCTTCCTCCTCATATGGTCAGAAAGGATATAACATCTGAAGAAGTATTTCACCTGAAGGAATGTGATATTCCAGCCGACTGTGGGTATAGAGAAATATCTGGAATGTTCTACTCGCCAGTTAAAAGGGCCACTATCGAGGATGGACGGCGGGGCTTCATCAGACTGCAGACGGCCGCCACGTGAACCTGCACGTCTGTTAAGTCCAGCTGGGCAGGATGTGGGGGGGGGGGGGGGGAAGGTGTGCTGTGTGTAATTTATAACCATTAAATCTGCTTTTGTTCTGGAGATGATAATGCGCCGGTCTCCGGGTGAAATCGATCCTATTGGCGCTAATTAGGCGATGGATCAAAGCAGCCCGGAATCCCTCTTGGCCCGATCCTGTCGTTACGGCGCGGGGGGGGCTGGGATGATGCCGGAGAGCTTAAATAAATGATGAGCTCCGTCACAGGAAGAAGACGGAGCCTCTCGAAGTTCAACTCGTTCGTCAGCCCTTCTGGGATTCCCCACTGCGTTTGATTTTAATTTTTTTCCCCAATTCCTTTTATTGTAGAGAATCTGTGCGGGTTTGTTTAACTAATTCCAGATGAAGGCGTTTGCTGAGTGAGACGCCTAAAACGTACCCAGAAATTTCTCTCCGATGTTCTGTTTATCACGTGTCCGTTCCAGTCTGAGTTCCGTAACGATAAGCAGGCTGCCTGATTAACACAACTCAGAACCATACGCCCCCCAGATGGGGCTGGGTCTCCCCCCAGGTCCAGCCCCGGTGTTTCAGGGTGGGTGGCAGACTGTTACTTGAACCAGGGGGGCGCTGTTGAGTCCTGCCCCTGTGCCAAAGGGAGGCAGGCCCCCTACCCAGTGGTTTGACTGGCCCTGGTTCCCAAAGTTGCTGTTCCTGCAAAGGGTTGAGGTGCGTGAGGTTCTTAATTGATTGATTTATGAGTTAATTAGTCAACAAGAGCCTGGCCGTAGTCTCTCACCTTTCCATATCTGATGCGTGTCTCCCTGCTGGGGCTGCCGGGTTCCTGCCTGCTGCTGAACCCCCCTCCCACTCCCCCATCCCTAGGGTGGTCAGAATGTGGGAATCAGAAGCTGCCAGTCGCTGTTGCCTTTAATTATTCAAAACATATTAAGTCTTAATTTCCAGATGCCTTAGCATCTGTCTGCTTAATGGGGGCTGAAGAAATCTTTTTCTACGTGTTGGGGGGGGAGGGGGGTCACTATGGCAAGCTCTGCTCGTGTAAACGGAAACATTATCGCTGTGGGGCAGGGCTCCGTGATCCCAGAGGTTCCCGCGCTTGGGAATAGAGGCCCGCTAGGCGTTCCCGGTGAGCTGAAATCGCACAAACGTGGGACTCGGCTCGTGGTCACCCTGACATCCAGGCGGAGAAAATCCAGCTCATCGAGCCTCTAATGGGGGCTGTGTGAACAATGACATGAAGGGAACAGCGGATCGTTGCTCAGGACGGTGCCTCCTGCCTTCTGAGGGACGTTTATCCTGGAGAAGATAGACGTGATTCTGAGCCGCCTTTTCTTATTTTTAAACTCTGGCCTCCTCTGGATGTCGGATCCTCCTTCAGTTGTTTCTCCTCGTGGCCTCCTCCTGTGGACCGGCGAATCTGGACCATTAACGGGCTGGGCTGAGAGATATGACTTTAAGGAACTTTTGATCCATTTTGCTCAAGTAAACCCTGGTAGATCTGACCACAGCCAATTATGTTCCAGTTTTTTTTGGGCCCCCGTTCTGACATTCCTGCCCTTTTATAAAACACCTGCCCCAGACATGCGCTGTGAGGTTCAGAGACCCCCCGGGGGTGGGGGCTGCATATGGAACCAACCTTGGAGACGGATCTGTGGCTGATCAAAAGGCTACAGTCACGTGGGGTCCCCGGCGCCATGCAGACAGCCTTCCGTGTGGCTCAGCCTCGCTCCCCTGTTCCAGTCACGCTCACACTGCTGGACCTTTTAACAAGGCGGCCGGTAGCCAATCAAACATGGCCATGGGCCGGGCTTTAGAGGAGGGTGCTGGCTGCCCCTCCTGCGCTCTGACGGCTGGGCATGGAGGTGAGCCGGACCCTAAGCGCATAAGCAGGGAGACTCGCTTTAAATAGGGCATTAACAATACTGATTCTGTTTCCTTCTCCTGACCAAACTCTGAAAGGAAAAATGTATTTAACTCATCCAGTGGACCTGAGAGGTTCCCCCCCGCTGTTTACCCAGTGCCCTCCCCCTTCCCCTCTCCCTCCCTTCCTCTTGGTTTTTTAAAAATACGTTTTTTTCTTAAATATGCTCTGTTTATCTGTTCTGCAATTAATTTTTGATGAATCGGTCGTAAAGCCTGCAGTGTCCAGGCTTGTCATTATTTATTCATGAACCACTGTGCTGCTTTTTTTTTCTTTCTCTCAAATATATATATATATTTTCTGGTCACCACCCCGATTAGCGATTAAGCTGCAGCCTTGCGTTTCTGTGCATTCCTTTGCCCTATTTATAGCTGCGGGGTCTCCGCTTGGCTGACGCCAGTCTCACCCTGACGCCCGTTCTCTCGCCCGTACGTGTCGCCCGCTGCCCGCCCTCGTCTGACGGCTCTATGTGCGTCCTGCGGTAAGCAGGGTAGCAGAAAGGCCAGCAGGGTAGCAGAAAGGCCAGCCGGGCAGCGAGGGGTACCTCCCTTCGTCCTGGCCGCCGCCCATCGCGCTGCATCGTCTGCCGTGATGCTGGAATGGCAGTATGGAGTGACTCTGGATGCCGCAATGGCTGCTGGTTGGTCAGGATTAGCCCGAGGGTGGAGCCTCATCAGCCACGCCTTCTTAATGTGTTTTCATTGGCTGCAGCTCCCACAGTGGTCCTGGAACTTCGGTATTCATGGCGACAATCATTCGAGGTTTTCATTTAGACGGGAAGTTGGCAAGCATTCGATAAAGAGCCGGATTTTGGGACCTGCCAGCCAGGCATGACTTACGCTGCCCCTGATTTCTTTCCCCAGCTTCTCCATGTGGAAACACAAATGTGGAAATCATTGTTTTACATTGCCCCCCCCCCCCACACACACATAAATGATGATGCAGGCTATTCATTACAGCAATCTCATTAGTTCAGCAGAAGAACCTGTTTTATGCAGCACTGTGCAAAAGTCTTAGGCAGTCAAAGAAAATGTTTAAATGATCTTTATTTGGTGTGAAACTATGATGATATCTCTAAGTGTCAGCCATTTACTAAACTCTCCTAAAATTACCCCAGGATTTGTAACCACTGTTGAGTTTATCACTGTATTTTTTGATTCGACCACTACCCCATCTTGTTTGGCTAATCAATAACATTGACTTATTTATCTAATTAAGTTAATTAATTGAGCTGGTGCTGAGATGGATACTCAGGATGGCTGAGTATCCAGGATGGCTGAGTTGATTTTTAGGCCCCTCTCTTGTTGTACAGTTGTCCCACTCCCCAGCAAAACCTACAGTCTAGGGTTCTGCACTGTGAGGATTTCAAATAAGCGTCGCCTGAAGCATCCTGCTCTCAGCATCCATACAAAGTCGAAGCGATGTGGGGTTAGGGTCACCTGACAGCTACTGAGCAGAGTCGTCTCTCTGCAGCCACATGCGGCTTGCACTGTTTGCACCCTGGTCAGCGATTTATTTGCTGCATTTATTAATCTATTTACTCGTTTATCTATTTGTTTTTCGATTCCAAATGATCAGAGGGTAAGGGCATACTCACACTTGCCCCGGTTCCTTTGTACCATGCCCAAGCATAATTGCCCCACTCCCCATTCCCCCCCCCCCCGGTCTGTGCTCACTTAGCGCTTGCCGATCCTGGCCCGAGTACACTTCTGTCATAGTCATGCGACATTTTTGTCGCGAACAAAACACAGGAAGGAGAGCAGTATCATATAGCAGAATGGAATTCAAGATTAATGTCCTTATTTTGTGGCTTATTTGGAGTCATTTTGGGCATGATGACACACAGGTTTAAGTATGAAATGCAACGATTTTTATTTATTCATGCTGTACCAATAAGACAGTCCTTCTTTTCACCAAATATCTGAGTTTATGAAGACTTGCGCAGGATACCAGTACTGAAAAGGTACTTTTTGAAAACTATTCAGTATTACATTTCTGTAGTACCGGTACTAATTACATGTATAGCTAACGCTATATAACGCTAACCATTGTATCAGAACCATAAACTCATAGTATCTGAACCACCGCAAGCTCAATTATACCCCATGTCAGAATTGCATGCCCTATGTCATATTATATAGAACACAAAAATGTCAGCTAATTGAAAATTATCTCCCGAGCTTCAAGTCACAGATGTAAGGGATCATTTGATATAACAAAATCTTACAATACAGCACACAGGCTGCATTAACATCATCGAACTAGCGGCTGCATCTACAGGTTATCATGCTATGCTGTGCTTTATGCAGTTAGATAAGCATAATGCCCTGCACAGCAAATGTTATGTTTATTGAGCAGATGAACAGAACAATGCAGAAGAAACCGCTGTAACCTTTATGGGTGCTTAAATTATCTGTTTGCTATTATTTCTGTATTTCTATATTTTTTTTTTTACAGTGGAGAGTAATGGTGGTGATGAGTTTGATCACAGTATAAATGTTTTACCGTTTGGCGTGCTTGTGTTTTTTTTTTTCTTTCTTTATTCGTCGGCGCACTCTCAAAATCCATGTAACAAATCATATTCATACTGATCCCCCTCTCCCGCCAACCCCCGAAACTCTCCATACACACTATTTTTTGCAATACAGTTTTGCAAAAAAAAAAATTAAATAAAAAAAATGACACAATCTACCCGATCTACAGCCTCCCTGATCTGCATCCCTTCCGGGCTGTTTTTGTATAGTGTACATGTGAGTATGCTGGTGTCTGTCCCACTAACTGTGCTGGGGCCTCTACCTCTTCAAATAGGCCACCTAACCATGCCAATAAGGAGCGATCACACTACTCAAATGAACTGGACTTTGGGGGGGTCAAACGTGTTTGGGCACGGTACAGATCGGCTAGCACAAGTACAGCCTGAAGGTCCTGGGTGATTTCACTGTGTCCAAACACTGGGCTGATTAAAACTCTCGTTTTGTCGACAGTTATCACAATGAGTGAGTAACAGGCTGCCGTTTTTGCTGAGCTGGGTCTGATACCCGACAGCCCACTCTGAATCACACCTTCCCCCACTTTTTACTCCGTGCCTCTGGTCATTCCAGGAAACGCCATTGATCCTAACTGAGGTTGAAAGGCCACTGGTTCATTCTGCCCAGGTGATGTGCAGGTGCCTTGGACTGTATATATGCCATTCTGAGCAAAGACCCTCTTCTCGTTTCCCCTGCAGGACTGTCCTCAGATCCTGCCATCTACGGAGATCTACATCCCCGTGGGGGTCACCAAGCCCATCACTCTGTCGGCCCGCAACCTGCCGCAGCCGCAGTCTGGTCAGCGAAACTATGAGTGCATCTTCCGCATCCAAGGAGCAGTGCACAGTGTCACCGCCCTGCGCTTCAACAGCACCAGCATCCAGTGCCAGAAGACCTCGGTGAGTGCAGTGCCATGGCAAGGGGGTCTTCATTATCTGGGCTGAACATGAGAGGTCTTTGCACTACACTGTTTGTGTATGGGACAGTTCATGCAGAGGTCTGGGTGAGAGTAGGGAGGGGTAGTCTTCATACAGGGGTCTTGGTGAGTGTGAAGAGGAATACTTTTCATACAGGGCTTTTGGTAAGTGTAGGAAGGAGTTGTCTTCATGCAGGGGTCATGATGAGAGTGAAGAGGGATAGTCTTCATATGGGGGTCATGATGAGAGTGAGGAGGGATAGTCTTCATATGGGGGTTATGATGAGAGTAAGGAGGGTCTTGGTAAGTTTGGGGAGGGGTAGTCTTCATACTGAGGTCTTGGTAAGTTTGGGGAGGGGTAATATTTCTCACTCAGCTCTAAGCTGTAAGTCATGATGTCAGATGATGCTGCTGTTTAGGGAACACAGAGCAGGTGGCCAGCAGCAGACATATCTGTGATCTAGTTCATTCCTTCATTTATTTTTATCAGTAAAGTAAATACGGAGTTCGAGTTCAGTCAATTTTCTGTTTAAATTTTCGGTGATGTGTTACCGGCCACCTGGAGTCCCACTGTGGACAGTGCCCTGATTCACCTCGCCTGGTGTTTGAAGTCAGCCTGCTGCTGCTGATGTGGGGAAGCACGGGGATAAAGCCCATGAAATATTTTCTTCCTTTGATTTCTCACGTGCACTGAATGGGTGGGGGGTTGAACTCGCTGCTTCACTTCACAAGGGCTGCAGATGTAGGGGTGTGTGTGGGGGGGGTGATGGCTCTCATCCCTGCAACATCAGGGTTTATCCTTCCTCAACTGCAGGCTCAGGGTGGATGATGGATTGGGCCTCCTTTGTGGTTGGGGGGGGTCGGGGGGGGTGCTTTACTTTCTCTTTTTGTGTGTCCCTGCGGGTGACACACAACCTCCTTGACAAGTATGGATTTGAATCCACCCCCCCTCCCCAGAAGTTGTCCCTCCTTCCTTTTATTTCCCCACCTTTGCTCCCCCCCCCCATCGTTCTTTGATTCCTCGAGATGCTTCTGACACTCGCAGCAGGATGTCGTTTGATTGCAGACCTGCACTGCTTTGGTCTCCCCCTTTCATCCTCCATTATCCCCCCCCCCAAAGCCAAAGGGCTTCTTTAAATTTTCCCTTAAATGTTTACTAATTTTGATTTTTTTTATTTATTTTTTTTTAATCCCCCAGGATTTTCAGATCAGTCACATGTAAAGATGCCGCCCTGTTATGAGGGAGTAAATGGTCCTGTTCCTGTAGAGCTCGTGTCTGAAAACTCTGATCTAAATGGGAGTCTAGTATATTTACGCACACTGGGCGGGACGGGGAGGCCGGGCGGGACGGGCGGGACGGGGAGGCCGGGCGGGGTTCCTAGTATCTGCTGGCCATTAAAGGTGGTCATGTACTTCAAACGAAATTGATGGAATTGACGTCGATTTTGCAGTACGGTATCATAAGAGCTGTAATCACCACTGTAATCACCGTTCACACGCACCACTTGTGCAGGGTCATTGGTTCTGATCCCACCCACTGTCCACAATTGGCCGCCATAATGTGGTGCCATTGGGTTGGTCAGCGGGACTAATTATGCAGTCACCAGCATGCTCTGCACTGCACCGCACCGTGCGTATTGCTCAATAGTGCAAATTAATATATGTATTTGTATATTTATAAATGTCAAAACCATGTAATTTTTGTCTTGGAATGGATGTTTTGTTGTAGCAGTGAGTGTCAATTAAATTGTTGGCTTCCCTGTTTGTTCCGCTACTAGTATTAAACCGATAGTAGCTTGTTAATAAAGATGGCAGCTTCCATTTTAAATGAGCTGTCATCCCCTGTATTAAAATGACTCGCACAATCCACAGTCTGTTTCTGCTCTGTATGTGGGGCTGCTACACTGGAAACTTTCCGTACCCTCTAGGGTTGTGCCGTGACAGAATGAACAAGGTGGCGATGTCGTTTTAAGAATGCGACAGATTGTTCTTGCTGCTGTATTTGATTTTGTTTTGTCTGGGTGTTGACTGTCACCAACGCGGTCATCGCCCTTAAAGGGGGTTAGGGTCAGTGCCACTTAATCATATCTGTGTCCCTTCCAAGCAGTACAGAGAGTATCGTAGCCGGGTGTTGCCATGTGATGGTGTTAAACTGCACGCTGAGGCATAAGTGGCGATACTGGCAAAGTCGTGTGGCTCAGCAGCTTGGGACCCTGTGCCCGTGACTGGAAGGTCGCTGGTTCAAATCCCAGGGTTGGCAGAATGATGCCACCATTGGACCCCTTAGCGAGGCTTTAACCTGCATTTGCTGCAGGGACTGGCCGACCCTGGCTGACTAAATAGATTAAATGTAAATATCACATTGCAGATGCACTGTAAACTGCATACTCAGTTAGCTATGTACATAATATGTTAATTAGTCTATATTGCTAATTGCACTTATAATGTGCTTAAGGCTTTGGATTCTCCAAGCAGAGACTGTCTGTGCTGCCGCCCCCTTCCCCTCCCCGATTCTCCAGGCCACTACGGTGGCCCTAAAAGGACACAGCGGGGAGGCCATTGCTGTATAATTAGCCGCAGTCTGTAATTAAAAAGAAAAAGCGACGTCATCTGATAATCAGTGGCTTTTCCGAGTCGCGAGATGCTCCAATAAGAGGAAGGCGACGTTTGTTTGTGCAAATGAACACCGACTCTGACTTTAAACGAAAATATGTGGAAATGGTAAAACCAAGTAAATATATAAAGGCATACATATTGAACTTCTGTGATGAAATGCTGTGTAACATCAGTCCCCCCTCCAGCGCACAGAGGACCCGTGTTGTAATGCAACACTACGTGGTCTCAGCACACACTGCCTGCTTTGACAGATGTCTGATCGAGTTCAACCTCGTTTGGATCTTGAATATTTAAAGAAACAAAAGCACATGAGAATTTGAAAACTGAGCTGTGGTCTGAGGCCGGGGTGAGGTGAGATCGCCGGCTTGCCGTTTCTGCACACGGCCCTTCAGATATACATGTCGCACAGAGAAACACTGCACATGTGCTCCTGTTTTCCTCTGAAATGCAGGCGGCGTGAAATCAGCTTCTTGCTAGTGTGGGGGGTGGGCTGGGTCAATTCAAGTGTTTCTGTACTGGGCAATCGTGCTATGTTTGCCCATTAAAGTGGAGTTAATAAAAAAAAAAAAAAAAAACATTCTGCTTTTGACTGTTGTATCAGCTGTGGATACATTATCGATAGTACTATAATATTAATATTGATTTTGAATGTATAATAAAGTATATGTTTTAGTATTAATACTATGAAGGCATAAATGTCAATAGATTGATTCTACATCAGTATAAATGCAGTACCGTGACTTGTCTTTTGTTTTGGTTTGTTTGTTTGCTTGTTTGTTTGAGACCAGTCATAAGGCCCCTGCCTCTCTCCCATGCTCCTCCCCCTCTCTCTGTCAGGAGCCAGTTTAGTGATTCTGATTGGCTCCTGCTGCATTAATCTGGGTGCATGGTGATCCCAGCCCACTGTAGCATTAGCGATCTTAAGCAATAGAGATGCAATATGTAACCTGCCAGAGAATTATGGGATGGATAAATGCTGTTGGTTTCCTGGCTGGCGATGGCTTTCTGGCTGGGGTTTGGAGCTGTGGTGGCTAAGCTTCTGTGTTAGCGCTTCAGAGGAGAGCGCGCCGATTTGCGTATCGAACGGACAGACAGGCACTAAGCCGGCATTTAGCCCGCGTGACCTCTGGGACCCGGTGGAGCGGGTGTACTTCACAGCGCAGGGGCGCTGAGGCGGGGGCCCAGTCTGTTTACAATGGGCCGGCTTAGCGGGGGGGTGGCACCACACGCCTGCTGCATGCCGTGAGCTTGCGAGGCGTTTTCCTCACTGCCACCTCGGCGTCTCTCGCACCTTCGGCCCGCCGTAAACATGCAGCCCCGCCCTGGGCTCCGTGCATCGATCTGGCACATGGAGGAAATGATGGGATGCGAATGGAAAATATCCCAGCTCTCCTTACGTCGGCTCTGACGCGCTTTGGAACCCCCACTCTTCGCGGCTTCACGCCCAACGCGTATCACCCCACCCCCCAAGCACTTCCTGGCGCTGGCCTGAATGGGACCCTGCCAGCCGGACCCGCATTGTACTTTGCCATGGACCCATTCCCAGTGGGCTGGCATTGCTGTATTGACACCCGCTCCTCCCTCAAGGGGTGAGGAATTGTCGGCGTGCGGGGCAGTGGGTCAGGCTCCAGTTCGTGTGATGCCAAGAGCGTGGGGTCCGCGCCTGACCTAGTCGCCTGAGCTAGCCTGGAGTTATCCCGCAGTTATCCCGGAGCTAGCCTGGAGTTATCCCGCAGTTATCCCGGAGCTAGCCTGGAGTTATCCCGCAGTTATCCCGGAGCTAGCCNGTTATCCCGCAGTTATCCCGGAGCTAGCCTGGAGTTATCCCGCAGTTATCCCGGAGCTAGCCTGGAGTTATCCCGCAGTTATCCCGGAGCTAGCCCGGTTAGTCAGGTAGCCGGTTAGTCAGAGGTAGCCATAACCGGATAACTCCCACTCCCCTTCCCGAGGACCTTGGCGCCCAGGCCTTGAAGGTGGGCTAAGGTCACCATTGTGACGACATCCTGGGTGAGCAGCAGTAGACAGTTAAGAATGGAGGAATGAGTGGCTCAAGTGACTGTGTGTGTGTGTGTGTGTGTGTGGTCTTTTGAATGCATGTTAATTTGTGGGAGAAACTCGCGTGGCATTTGGAAGTCTGACCCTGGTTTATGGGACCAAGTGGGATTGGATAATATTGAGGGCTGTGATACGCCATTAGTTCTGCAGTGATAAAATACTGCCCCCCCACCATTGCTGGGTTTCCTTCAATTTCCCAGAAAAGAAGGAATGGAAGCAAGTAAGAGCAAAGTGTGTGTGTGTGTGTGTG